CCACCAGCACTGACCCCTCAGCCCTTCAGGTCCCCAGGAGCCTTCCCGGCCTGCCCAGTGGGCCCGCAGCATCTCCTCTTTCCACCCATTCTGCACCTCCCTGGCGCTGGTGTGTTTGCCTCCTTGTCTCTCACTTTGCCAGAGCTGTCCCTGTGCCCCGTGTCTCTGTGTCCCTGTGCCCCATGTCCCTAGGCCCCGTGTCCTAGTGCCCTGTGTTTCCCACTCCTGCGCTGCTGTGAGCTGGCAGCAAGGCCCACCTCCTGTTTAACCGCCTAGTGCCATTGTCAGCAAACTGCGGCTCCTGAGCCACATGCGGCTCTTTGGCCCCTTGAGTGTGGCTCTTCCTAAGCCGTAGGAGTACCCTAATTAAGTTAATAGCAATGTACCTATCTATATAGTTTAAGTTTAAAAAATTTGGCTCTCAAAAGAAATTTCAATCGTTGTACTGTTGATATTTGGCTCTGTTGACTAATGAGTTTGCCGACCACTGGCCTAGTGGGTTCGGGGCTCCACGCTGCCTCCAGGGCCCCGTGCACACGTGCAATATATCACAGTTGTGACGAATTATGTTTTGGTTCTTTGGTGTCAAATTTTTATTCATGTGAATTCTGTTTTCCTAAATGTCTGTCGCTAGTCCTGCACCTCTTTTAACAGTGACTGTGAGGTATGTTTTTGGGCCTCTGCCTACACATTCCCTGGTGCAGTGAGCTCACTCAGCCTTTCTGATGCTAATGAGTACATTCTCAGCTGCCACCACTGAGGCTCAGTAGAAAACAGAAGGGCAAGTACTGCCTTAAAAACAGACTTTATTATTTGTGCTATTTTGCTTAATGCAGTAAACTCTTCTTGACTTGGATCTTAATTTAGAATTTGTGAACGCAAAGTCTGAGGAAAAGTGTTCGCTAAAAAGCAAAAGCAACACCTCAGTGGTTCATAAGGCAGAATTTTTGTTTCTTAGAAAGTTCAACAAATGGTGCAATCAAGCTGAAGTTTATAAATTTATGCTATTAAATTATGGAATAAAAAATTGTTTCAAGTTTCTTTTGACATAGACCCTGCCTCCCCCCTCCAGAATCACCATCCATTCAGGAGCAGATATTGTGAATGTTAATTATAGCCATTTAATGAGCATCTATTTCTTGACAGTCACCTTACCAAACACCATCTATATTATGCTATTTAATTTCACAACTACTTGTGTGCTAGGAGTTAGCATGACCACTTTAATATGCTAATATTGGTACATGATAAACACTTGAATTAATTAGCCCAGTTATTCACTACACAGCAGTCATTGTGTTCTGTATTGCATATGTGTTTACTACATGTATATCATGGAAGCACAGCCTAGCAGTTATGACCAGAAGCAGCAAAATGAGTCTGTTCTTGCCTATTTTCAATGTTGGTGGGGATGGAAAGTTCACTAGTGAATCCCTAGTCTGACCCCAGTGTTATCTGCACACGTTCACATAACTTTTGCTGACAAACTCTCTCACCTTCTGATCCACATCCTAATGCCACCAAATGATTATATTTTTGCTATTTCAGGTCTTTTTCCAAAGAAATTTTTCTAACATTTTTCTTTTGAACTCGTGCCCTGGTTTTTTAATCCCAATCTGTCTAAGCTGACAGATTTTGTAAATCCAGCTAGTTGACTATGCTTTTAGTCAGTCCCTAGGAAGGAGAACCTGACAGAGTCTAAGTGAGCCTGGCTGGTGTGGCTCAGTGGTTGAGCATTGTCACATGACTGAAAGGTCATGGGTTCAATTCCCGGTCAGGGCACAGTCTCAGGTTGTGGCTTCGATCCCTGGTTGGGGTGCATGCAGGAGGAACTGATCAATATTTCTCTTTCTCTTCCCCCTTCTCTCTCTAAAAAAAGAAAAACACACAACAGAATCAATAAAAACATATTTCAAAACACACACATGAACTATTTAGTGTAGTTTCACACTGTGGGAATAAGGGAGATGCAGTAAGATGGCAGGAGAGGTGAAGGATAAGATGTGTACATAGGGAGGAAGAGGCCTGTTGTACTTGACCATACGAGGCAATCTGAGAAGATAAAGGAATCGAGACATGGGCAAACGTGATGTTTATCAGTGTTACTTGTTTTCAAAGTTCTCTTTTCCTTAAAAAATCACAAACTTTTGAAATAACATTTATTTTTTTGTCTTTGTTACTAGATTGCAAGTTCCATAAGGGCAAGGACCATGGTCTGTTGTTTATCTTTCTACTAGGGGTCTAGTGCACAAATTTGTGCACCTTGAAAGGAACCGTGGACCATGAGGCTGTGGTGAGCACAGGGGTGGGTCTCGGCCCATCCTCCACGCCCACTCCCGGCCCTTCCCACCATGGCCCCCAGTCTCCTGAATGCCAGCAGCCTTGCTCCCACTGCCACCACTCCCATGCACTGACCAACAGCCCTGCTCGCACTTGCTGACAACACAGAGGGATTGGGGCTGGCACCGTCAGTGGGTGCGAGCGTGGCTGCTGCCCTGATTGCCCCTCAGGAGCAGAGGGAGGTTGAGAAGCCCTCAGGGATGATTGGGGTTGGCAGCTACCGCTCGCACCCACTGACAGTGCCAAGCGATCGGGGCCGGTGCAGGGTGCCGGCAGTGGGTGTGAGCAGGGCTATTGCCGGCAGCAAGTGCGAGAGGCGGCTGCTGGCCCTGATAGTCCTTCGGGAGCAGGGGGAGATGGAGAATCCCTGAGGGGCGTTTGGAGCCAGCAGACACTGCTCGCACCTGCTGACAGCACCAAGTGATCAGGGCCAGTGCCGGGCACCAGCAGTGGGTGCGAGCAGGAACATTGCTGGCAGCAAGTGCGAGAAGCGGCTGCTGGCCCTGATAGTCCTTCAGGAGCAGGGAGAGATGAAGAATCCCTGAGGGGTGATTGGGGCCAGCAGACACTGCTCGCACCTACTGACAGCACCGAGTGATCAGGGCCAGTGCTGGGCACCAGCAGTGGGTGCGAGCAGTGGCTCTCGTGCCAGCAGCAGGTGTGAGTGCCCAGTGGGACCACGGTGCATGGGAGCAAAGAATTTTCAGTAACCACCAGAGGCTCTCCCTGCTGACAGCAACTGACAGCCTTGGTCTGGCACCCTGGCTCACCTGCTCCACCATCCTGCCATGGCTGGTGCCTGCCATATTCCACACGCAGCCCCTGGTGGTCAGCATACATCATAGAGACCAGTTGTTTGGTTGTTCTGCCACTTGGTCTATTTGCATATTAGGGTTTTATATATATATACTAGAGGCCTGTTGCATGAAAAGATTCGTGCAATAGGCCTTCCCTTCCCCTGGCTGCCGGCACCGGTTTTCCTCCGGCGCCCGGGACCCAGGCCTTCGCTCTGGCCTGAGCCGCCTTCAAGCCTCTCACTGCTCTGGCTGGAGCCGCCTTCAAGCCTCTTGCTGCTCCGGCCGGAGCTGCCTTCAAGCCTCTCGCTGCTCCGGCCGGAGCCGTCTTTAGTCTTCGCTCCTCTGCTTTGCGCCATCTTTGTTGGCAGTTAATTTGCATATCGCTCTGATTAGCCAATGGTGGGCATAGGAAAGGTACGGTCAATTTGAATCTTTGTCTATTATTAGATAGGATAAATGTATATAGATTTCTAATGCTTATAGAATTTATATTTGTTGAATGAATGACTAATGAATCAGTAAATGGCACAGATGATATGGACATGAAGTTTATTATTTAGTTAGAGGCCCGATGCACAAAATTCATGCAAGGGGCTTGGTCCTCACAGCCCCAGCTTTGTCAGGAAGGTTGTTGGGCTGTCCGGTCTAATTAGCATATTACGCTTTTATTATTATAGATAATACAATTTAATGGGAGTTTGCTGCAGAATGGCTTCTGCTCTGTTGGACATAGAACTGTCTGTAACGTTCCTAATTCTCAGTCCGTGTTACTGTTCATGGAGCTGTGACCAGTGCTGATGGTCCCCCAGGAGACTCAACTGATGTGTTTTCTCCACTGTGAGGAGCTGTGGGACCAACAGGAAACAGGGTCACTGCCCAGGTGTGAATCCCTAGAGCTGATCCCCAGGGTCACCATCAACAGGTGGAGGGAAAAGAAGTCCAGGTTTATCATCTTTATTTAAAAACATTGTGAATAGTGGCCTCTATAACACAGCAATTTAAACATTTAAAGAGCTTCATTTTTATCAATTGGTATCAATGGAATAACTCTCATAAAATGATTGCTATTAGATTGTGACCCTGAACAGTTCTCTGACTCATGAGTTTACTCCAGCTAATCAAGTAGCCCAGCTCGGGTCCTCATCCCGGCCTCAGAATCCAGGGACCGTTCCCGCTGGTTCAGGGAGGACCCTTCCTGTGGGGAGACTTGCCTGTGCCCCCACATCTCCCACTCTATTTTCCTCTCTGTTTCCCCTCCCCTCCCAGTGGAGCCCACAGTGACCATCTCCCCGGCCAAGACAGAGGCCCTAACCCACCACAACATGCTGGTCTGCTCGGTGACGGATTTCTATCCAGCCCACATCAAAGTCCGATGGTTCCGGAACGACCAGGAGGAGACAGCCGGTGTCGTGTCCACCCCCGTGATTAGGAATGGGGACTGGACCTACCAGATCCTGGTGATGCTGGAAATGACCCCCCAGCGAGGAGACATCTACACCTGCCGCGTGGAGCACCCCAGCCTGCAGAGCCCCATCGCAGTGGAGTGGCGTAAGGGGCAGTTTCTTTCCTGCATCCTGGGCCCCACAGACAGAGGGAAAACAGCGTCCTCTAACCATCCCATCGCATCCCTATTGCTGATGTCACTGCTGAGTGGACATCACAGGATGCTAGAGCCCTCTGGTGCCGTGGCAGGGGCATCAGATCTCATGGTGTTTTCAGACACTAGGGAGGTCACTCTACACGACAGCCAGAACCCAGCCTGAGGGCTCTGAAGGCTGACTGTGGCGGCTAGTGACAGGGCTTGGGGTCCAAGGCTAAAGATATATGTGAAGGAGCAGGATCCACTTCCCCTGTCACCCACCCTCGGTGTCCAAGGATTTACTGGCTGGTCCCCCCAGGGGTGGAGGCTTCCAAAGGGCCCCTGTGGGTTTGGGACAGAAGCTGACACACAGGCTCTGCTCCCCAGGGGCACAGTCTGGATCCGCCCAGAGCAAGATGCTGAGCGGCATCGGGGGCTTCGTGCTGGGGCTGATCTTCCTGGGCCTGGGCCTTGTCATCCGTCACAGGAAACAGAAGGGTAAGCAACTGGGGAAACGGGAAGGTGGGCTGTGCCCGGGACCCTCTGTTGAGGGATCCTCTGCTTGTAGGTGAAACTCACCTCCTGACCTGGAAGGCAGGAGGCCAGGCTGGTGGTGGGAGGAGACAGACAGCTAGGCCAGGCTTTGGACTGGATTTTACTGGTTGAAAGGCAGCCCTGCCACAGGCGTGACTGTGGTGAATGTCCTGGGGCTGAGAGCTCATCACTGTCTCGCTGGCCCCTTTCCAAAAGCTGCTTCTTTAAGAAGGTCAGGGCATTGGCTTCCCTTCCTTCTAGTGACAGGTCCACTCATTTGGGAGATTGTAGTTTAGGGGGTTAAGGCCTGTGACTGATGGGTGGGGAGGAAGTAGATTTCCAGTTAAGTTGCTTATCTCATTTCCTGTGGGTGGGAGAGGGACTGGCTATGTGATGCGACCTTTCTCTGTGTAAAGTCCTTTTGTAGGATCTCATGGGCCTCCCCCCAGCTTCTGTCTCTGCTCTGATTTAATGGGGTTGATGGGGAGGAGAGGGAGCTGGTTCCAGGACAGGAAAAGGGAGGGAGGGGCGGGAAGTGAGTGTACCTGGTCACAAAGGGCACAGTTCAGGGCCTATTCCCTGCCAGGGGATCAAGGATTTGGGGAGAAGCTCACCCAGTTTCTGAAGGAAACTCTGGGCTTGTTATCCAGAACCCAGGTTTAACTTTGGTGGATCTTTCTGTGAAATGTGGAGCCAGATCTTGGGTGGTAGGTACGGGGATGATACTCACTTTGTGCCCATGTTGGTGGCTCCTGCCTGTGGGTATTTATAAGTGATTCCTAGTGGTGGAAGGAAGGTTAGTTATCATTAAATTTGTTTAAAAGATTGAAATGCTCATATCCCCCAAGGGATAACTGTTGTTCTCCTGCCTCCTGCATGTCTGGGTGGAGCTGAAGTGCGTGTCCTCTTTAGCTGATTTCACCCCGACACAGATACTGGGGGAGGTGATGGCCTTATGCCCAGACCTCAGCTTTACCTGATGCTGCAGTGCCCTGAGAGGAGGGGACTGGTACGCCCCCAGGTGCCAGGTGCTGATCACTCTCTCTTCTACAGGGCTCCTGCGCTGACTCCTGAGCGTACTTTGACTGGGATCGGCTGTGTTTCCTCTGAAATGCCTGCTTATTGTCCTTGCCCAGATTTCCCAGCTGCCTGTGAGCCTGCTCCCTCTGAGATCAGAGCTGGCCAGTCATCTCCTGTGCTCCCCCTGCCCCCCACCCTCGAGGCCATGGCTGTGACCTTGGAGTCTGTCCTGTGGGCTGCCAGCTAAGTCTAAAAATGCCAAGGCCCCCAAGGCATTTTTCTTTTGTTCTCTCCCTCCCCCCATCCCCCTCTGTCCAAGAGAAGTACATTAAAGCCTTTACCTGACTCCAGAGCTTTTATCATAATTAAACATGTTATCTGTATCTGAGCCTTCTTAACTGGGTGGAGGCAAGAAGTCACTGCAGAATGAAAGGAACATGTTTTGCTCCTTGAGGGAGACTAGAGCATCTTGGGGTGCTGAGATAAATGTGGGCAGAGGGAACAATTCAATCGTCCTCCGTCCTGGCTGTTTGGTATTGATGTTCAGTGCAGTGGCCTTATGACCTGCTGGCCTCTCTTCCAGCCTGGTGGGTAGAGTGTATGTCAGCATGGAGGAATTACCTGGGGCCAGGTACAGTGGCCTCTGGGGTCTCAAAGAACCAAACTGATGTTTCAGATGTCTTGGCAAGTCACAGTGATCAAGGTCAGTTTTTGTTTTTGGAAAAGTAAAACCAGCAATAAAAGTAATATTCTTGGTTCCAAATGATTGAAATCCAACTGAAGTTTAGTTTGTTCATGTTACAAGGAAGCCTGGGGTCAAGCTGATTTCAGAAGAGACTGGATCCAGGTATTCTATGAGGTCTCTCATTTTTCTGTTATAACTATCTAGACACCTTTTTCTTTTCCTGTATCTCTCTTTGTTCCTGTATATTTTTTCAGTGTGTCTCTCTGCATCTTTTTCTGTCTGTCTCTGCATCCCTGTGTCTCTCACTCTTTCATTGCATCTCTGTCTCTATTTCTAGCTACACCTCTGCCACCATTTACCTGCATCTATTGACCTCTCTGTGTTTCTTTTTGCATCTCTAATTTTTGCATCTTTCTTATCACCACACAACTTATCTTTGTTTCTGTGTATGTGTGTGACTGCCTGTCTCTGTTGTGTGTTTCTAGAGTGTCTACCAAAGTTTGAACAATTTTAGGAGAGATTCTGGTTGACCACCCCTCAGTAACATGCACACCTCTCAAAAACATCATCATGTACATGGATGCAGACAGCCTTACGTTCACCACCTATAGTAGGAACATAGGCTGGATCTTCCAGATCTTGGTGATGCTGTAATGACTGCCTAGTGTGAAGGTGTCTACACCCCCAAGTGCAGCACCCTAGTCTCCAACCCCATCACCGTGGAGTGGCATACGGGGCAGTTTGTTTCTGCAGACCCAGGAGATGAGTGACAGAGTTTTCTGTGCTTCTCGGGCACATTGTTGGAAGTGCTGACTCACACCCATCTCACCCCTTGTCTCCTGCAAGTCACCTGATGTCACTGCTGAGCTAGAATTCCCCAAGGAGAGAGCTTTCCTGTCCGTGGATATAGTGACCTGTTGATTCCTGTTGATATTCTCTTCCCAGGTGTTAAAGAGGTCCCTGCACACTGAGGCTCCCTTGACATGGGCCAGCACAGAAAGCTGGTCTCCATCTCCCTCTCTGGGTTTGTTATATGGCCAGGTGGATGAGAGCTTGTCTTTGAGGTAATGGAAGGCATCCTCTTCTCCTTGCTCCCTCACCCACTCATTGAGGAGCCAATGGTAGCTCCTTCCCTTTCCTGGATGAAGTCAGAATGGAGAACAAGGCTTTTCTGGGGCCATTGTCTTCTGTACCCCAGGCTGTAATGCAGGTCACCAGACATGGGCACTGTGAATGTGTGGGCAGATACACTCAGGAGGACTCTGCTCCCCAAGGTCATAGTCTGAATCTGCCCAGAACAGGATGCTGAGTGGTCAGAGGTTTGTGCTGGTTTTGTCGTCTTCCTCAAGGTGGACATTGTCATTTGCCAAAGGAGTCAAGAGGGCTGACACTTAGGGAAATGGGGAGCACTTGTGTGGGTGTCTAGCGAACCCTTATTCTCTATATGTAGCACTTTGCTTTTGATGCTGCAAAGACAAGAGGCAGGGCTGGATACTGAACCTGACTCAGAGTTTAGGCAGACATCGAGATCTGACTTTTTTAGCTGAAACATAAGCCCTCTTATAAGGGTAAGTGGTACAGTATATTCTAGGGCATTCTTATGGTTCCACACTGCCACACTGGCCCATCCTGGGAGATTCTTTTTAATGACAGGGTCAGAGTCTTCTTCCCCTCCAGTGACAGCTTCATAGCAACAAGTATTTTTCTTTTTCTTTTTTTGCACCCAGATTTCATTGGGTAATATAATATTTAACTAATAATTTAATCAAAATAACATTGCATCCTTTATAAACAAGTTTCTACAAAAAGAGCTCAGTCTTAGTAGGCACTCATCTTGGAGAAATGTATGGGTGTGCTAGAGAAAAACCTGCTGGTATTTACCCTGTTGGCTTTACCCTCCATCACATCAGTCAGTATGTCTTCAGGGACACAGTGGTAGTCATTAACATTCCATAAGCTTATGCACATTTCCCAGATTCCTGTGTGGTTCATGTGGAATCATGTGACTAATACCAGCCAATAGAACTTGAAAATGGGTGCAAGCTCTGCCTACTTTGTCTTTTTCTGAAAGCCATTGTTGAGGTGATGGTGTGTAATATGTTGGAAACTCCATAAGCTGAGTCCCTTGAATGTCTGTAGAATTGAGTCCTCTTTTTGAGTTAAGGCACTGAGATTAAATTTCTACTGCAGGTTAATATCTTACTGCAACATAACCTTGCTTCCTGACTACCTGGGAATGTTTAATTTAAGTAATAGAGTTCATAAGTTAATAGGGTGAGTCAGTTGAGTTAATAGAATTTAAGAGATGATAAAATTTTAAAAAACATTTATTACTTTGTTTCTTCCACCCCCAGAATATATGTATTCCCAGCGACTAGAACAAGTGCTTCTGTAGAGATGCTGTCCTGATCCACATAGTCTCCTCCCTTCAGTGCTGAAGGATTTAGTCCCTCAGTTGCTGGCTGACCATCCTCAGCTCTCAGCCCTCCTCCAGAGTTGCCTTAGGTAAGGTAGGCTGCCTTACCCAACCTCAGGCCTCTTCCCAGGGGAACTCTCTAGTGACTGCTCAGTGTGGGGCTGTAGAGGTCCCGAGCCTCACCCTAATTTAGGTCAACTCTGAAGGGCTCTTGAAGCTTCAGAGCTCCCTCGAGATTTGGATGAGGACTCTTTTGGAATGAATAATAGTCCAACTTTGCTCTAAATCATGAGTCACTTTACATCATCCTTCTTTCAGTTACTATTTTAATTTACATGTACTTATTTTTGTATCTTCATCCCTTAAGTATGACCTTCTTGGAAGATGAAGGTATTGACATCACTGCTCTTCCTTCCTCCTCTCCTATAAGCTTCCACTTGCCAAATTGAGGTACCTGCACTTTTAAAAAATATTGTCAAAATTGAAAATATTAACATTCAGTAATAATGATTGTCTTGGGGTCTGTTCATAGTTTATTGCTAAAAGTTGAAGAAAAGTTGTTTAACACTATTAATATCATTTATAATGAAGCTCTATTCAGTGATGTCCTGGATTGAATACACTGTTTCTTGGATTCCTTGTCTTCCAATTACCTTTTAAAAAAAGTCAAAGGGCTCTGCCAGCATGGCTCAGTGGTTAAGCTTCTACCTATGAACCAGGAGGACACGGTTGGATTCCCCATCAGGGCACATGCCCAGGTTGCAGGCTTGATCCCCATTGGGGGGCATGCAGGAAGCAGCCAATCAGTGATTCTCTCTCATCATGTCTCTCTCTCTCTCTCTCTCTCTCTCTCTCTCTCTCTCTCTCTCTCTTTCTCTTTCTCTCCAACTCTCTGTGTGTGTGTGTCTCTATCCCTCTTCTTTCCTCTCTGAGATCAATAAAAATATATTTAAAAAATTTTAAAGTTGAAGGTTTTATTTAACTTACTAGAGGCCTAGTGCATGAATTTGTGCACGGATGTGGTGTGGCTGATATGGCAACAGTTGGGGAAGATTGGGACTAGGCCTGCCAGAGGGAGGAGGAGATGGTGGAAGGTTGGCTGGCCAGTCCGTGGGTGGGGCTGGCTGTGGGGAGGGGCTGTGGGTGGTGGGCCAGCTGGCGTGCCCTGAATGGGGTAGGAGAGCCAATTGGGGGTCAGCAGCCAGGGGGCCATGGGAGGTTGGCCGGCCAGCCCCATCCCTGATTGGTGAGTATGAGGGGCATTCAGGGGTGGAGCTGGCTGGGGGGAGGGGCCTCAGGCTGATCGGGGTAGTGGGGGCTGATCAGGGCTGGGACCAGCCATGGGAAGGGGCTGTGGGCAGTGGGCTGATCGTCCCCACGCTCTATTGAGGTGCAGGTGGGACGATCAGGGGTGGAGCTGATCATGAGAATGGGCTGCAGGCTGATTGGGGTGGTGGGGGTCCATCAGGGGTGGGCCTGGCCAGGGGTGCAAGAGGTTGGGCCTGCAAGAGGTTGGCTGGCCTGGCTCACCCCCTATTGGGGTGGGGGGCAATTAGGGGCAGGGCCAGCCGGGGGAAGGGGTTGCAGGCCGATCCAGGTGGGGCAACAAATGGGGGGCAGTACTGGCTTGGGGGATGGGCCACAGGGGTGTTGGCCAGCCACCCCACCCTGATCGGGGTGGGAGAGGCCGATCAGGAGTGGAGCCAGCCAGGAGGAGGGGCCATGTGAGGTTGGCCAGCTGGCCCCATCCCCCAATTGGGCCAGTTGTCTGGCCACAGTGGGAGTCATAGTGACCGGTTGTTCCAGTAGTTTTGGCATTCTGGTCACTGGCTTTTTATATATATAGATTAGTTAATGAGAGAACTAGTATGATACACTAGGTACAGTAGCCTCTTTTGTCCATGGTTTCACTTTCTGCAGTTTCAGTTACCTGCTGTCAACTATGGTCTGAAAATATTAAGTTGAAAATTTCAGAAATAAGCAATTTAAAAGATATTTTGAGAGAGAGAGAGAGAGAGAAGTGAGAGAGACCACACTCACATAGCTTCTATTATAGTAACTATACTAATAATAGTTACTATTATAGACTATACTAATAATAATTGCCTGGGATGCTGTCACATAATAACTGTTCAACAGGCTGCATCTCTGCCCCCTGCTCAGGTAGCTGCAAGGCACAGGTAGGTAGGATAGGATGCAATAGGAGGGGATAAGAAAGGAGAGGGAGAGGAAGGCAGGCCTGCATGCAGACAGGCTGTGAGGAGAAACAGAAAGACAGAAAG